ATGAAGTTGAGTGAAGACGGACTGATTCGTTCGTAGGCCATCTTTTCTTGACACGAACCTGTGCTTATCATATTACAGATATCAAAGGAGCCAAGAATGACTTTTCAAGCACCCCYAAAGAACGGTAAGGGATGCACTGACTGTTTCTTCGACCTTTCAACAGATTTCTATGTAGTCGTGGTACATTATACATCATCGATATTGTTTATCAAAACTGTCAAAAGCGTCCATATCTAACACATAATATAACCGTTATACGCTCTTAGTGTCTTATTTTGATATATTTTATTTCCCAGGGTGTCGGAAGGACATCGTCATCAAACGAGTGATAAACAAGTTGAAGGTAGGCAATAATCAAGCTACTAAATTAATACAGAGGATTAGTGCAACTTTTCTGGTCTAAAAGAATCGACTTCATATGTAACCAACAAGTTTTTATGTTATTTCATTAAACACAGATAAACCAATGATTGTAGAGCTGGACATTATCAAGGATCCTGACAGTGAAAGGCACGAGCAGCCAGTTCAGTGCGACTGCAGTCAGTGTGACTACTATAGAGAGCTTGAACAACAGGTACATAAGTCTTGTTGTGCGGGTAGTTTATAGTGCTACAACAGTCAATGTGCGACGGCTTTATTTTAAGTGAAGCAAAGGATGATGGGAGTCGTAGTCATCGCATGTTTTCATCCCGMTRTTACAGWSTCCCTAAGACTCCTACAAGACTATATATTGCAATTACTACAGCTCCTCTATCATGCYTTGATGTAGGCTTCTTCACAGGCAAATCTACTCTTTGGGAGGGGGAGTTGTTCCTAATCCCTCAACACCAGTTCTTCTCGGTCAAGATTATGAACACACAGGAAGACCAAGAAAAGAAGAAARTCCGTTTCCGTTGGAGTAGCCTGCGAAGGAGCCTAGCCTTGTTTTTTTGTTTTGTTTTTTGTATAAAATAGCKTCTCTGTACATTGTCGATTAAACGGATGTAAAGTCTTAGACTAAATTCGTATTATTGTCATAATTAGATCAAGAGATGTAGACGTTCGATAAGTGGTTCAGAAACAAGAAGCAAAGCAGGAAGTAGTGCACCGTCGTCTAGAGGGGTTTCCCCTAGGAAAAGACATTCTAGAGAAGCTACACCCATCAAACGAACCACACCCACAGAAGTGCAACACGAAGCACACGAACGCAAGGTATGCACTATCTATTATTGGATAAAAAGTAATTCAAAGATAACACTAAACA